TGAGTAAAAGCGTAATTTTTCAGCTCCTTCAGCGCAACGCCTAAATTTGACTCGAAACAGAACGGTTTTTCATGGTTTTGGACCATGCTCGGAAATCGTCGTCAGAAATATTGAAAAATAGCACTTAAAGCCAAATTATTGCTATTTTTGTTTATCATATGGACTAACTGTCTCACACAGAAAATTTGAAGAAATTCTGTTTTCGGCCGAAAATTGAGTGGTCGGTTCTTACACGGACAGCCTCTTAAATCCTTTTTTTGGAAACATGTATAAGATTTGCTTTTTAAGGTTGACATCGGTTAAATTTCAGTTCAGACCAACTTATGGACGTAAAATGATGACGCGTTATATCTGAAGCAAAGGCTTAAGTCTCAGCGGCAGTCAGGCAACAAAATCACTAAGATGTGTTAACCCAGTCAGTCATGAAGGAAGAAGGGAAGACACCGTGTGGAGACAGAATCTGGTTCCATATTATGCTCCTTACTATGGCAACAAGTTGCACTGTGATCAGAACGAGAAGCTGGTAATGTATGGATATACTCTTTATGTCATGAGTGGTGGGTGCAGCTCAACAATCATCAAACTATTTTCCATGCCAAGAAAAAATACTGTGATAATCTACTCGCATTTTAGGTAAGTCTTAGGTATATACCTAAATACAACCACTTTTCCTCCTCTTGAGGTACCTTAGAAATTACAATGTGCACATGATACTTTGTCAGTTAGGCCTCTCTGGCCAGCCAGGTAAAGGTACACAACTCGTCTGTCGGATGAGTTTTCAGATCCCATTAACAACAGCACAGATTGTGCTATGCACAAAGTCAGTTTTTTTGTATTTTTTCTCTATAAATGTTCAATTGTTACAACATTCGCTGAAGCGTCAACGGTATAAATGGAGACGTCCCACTGCAACTGGCTTTTTACCTTTAAAAACACAACCAACAAAGTAANTTAAAAGTATTAAGACAAAATTGGATAGAAAATCGAGCAATTTCAGTTCTTAGTGGATGAAAATCTGGTACCAGAATAATTTTAAATATTTTACAGTCCTTTTTACATTTTCTCAAAGCTAAAGATATAAATAGCTGCCTGAAATAACACTGAAAACAATTTCCCTTGGGAACGAGAGATACAATTTTCGAAGTTCAGAGAAATTGTGCAAACACAGGTAAAATTTCATCATCAGTTTCATTTTACCAGTACTTTCAAGTGATTCATGCAAAGTTCAACATTTGTTTTTGACATTTGGTGTTGCTGGAAATGAGTGTTTTTTGAGAAGATATTTAAGAGTCTGTCCACACGAGGACCAGGCAGGTGTGACACATACTATCTCACCGATTTCTCTCAAACTTTCACAGATGATTAAGGTCATTAAGTTATTCAAGAGTCCAAAGTAGTTTGGGCTCCTGGTCAATCCCTGGGGTAATAGGTCTTTCTCATCAAATCCCAGGGAAAAAAACCCCGAAATTAGCTCTATAATTGTACTTCCAACAAAGATTCCTCACACTAACAAAATGCAGGTGATTTTAATCTTTATTTCATCCACCAATTCTTTGAACCTTAAAAGCAATGAAAGGTCCAACGTTGGAGTGATTTGAAATTATTCTTGGCAATGTAGAATATTTGACAATTAACCATGTCACACAACAATTTCAAGAAACTGCAAATTAGGCTTTTTAAATTGTAAATATCTCCAATGGGCAACAATGCATGTCGACAAACATGTAGTCACAGTAAAACCCTATCATAGTGCTATGTTTCTGATGAAAAAAATTTTGGCTTCTGTGAAATATTTGTGATCACACTCCTCCAAAGTACGTGACAATCCAAGTTAATTGGAGCACTCTGTGCACTCTGTGACCATATGCTGCTGTTTAAGGAGCCAGTTCAAATTGTTTGATGGTATCAGTGATGCCAATTTGTTTGTTTTTCAACCCTAAAAACCTTAAGAGATGTTTATCTGCATAGCTAAGGAGTTAAATTAATTATATAAATTCTAAGATATTCACATTATTTACAGACACCTTAATAAAACCGATACATTTTATGCAGGAAGTCGACAGTTGAGAGCAAAGTGTGTGAGGTATATTTTGCCACATTTTTGTTTCTTTCCATGCTTATTAAATTCATTTTCAAACTTGGAATGCACTCAAAGTAATTTCCTTACAGGAGAAACAGCAACCTTCCTGTAAATGTAGGTGTGTGGCATGACATTTGTTTCTGTTACATGTGTCAGTATATCTACTTGAATTGGGAAATAAAATTCCCTGAGCTCGAAAAAAATAAAGTCTATCTTTGAGAGGCAATCCACATTCTACAGCAATTAAGTTCTTTTCGGTTACTTTTGTAAAATCTGATTGCATGAGTATTTTTCTGAGATCAGGCTAATGTAAACATTGTTGCCATGAAAAGCAAACAAAGATAAAGGAAAGCACGTACTAGTCTGTTAGCTTCTGTTGTGTTGCCACAATTCACTGTATTCTCTGTTTCTATGTATCTGTGATCTGGCGACTAAATGATTATCCTTACGCTTTAATCAATCGTTTGAATTATGCTTTGTGGTATCATTTACCAATCCGAGAATAATTAAAAACACTGGCATTCAACGATGCCTTTTTTGTGTGCAATATTGTGAAAGACCGGAAGTACAAACGAAATAATTGAAGTTTTCTGATTACAAAATTTTTCACTTCTTACAACATCTTAATAGGTAGGAAAAGAGCTGCTGAAGACTATAAACTTGATTGAAAGATATCCTAGTTATTTGGATTTTTGCAGAACCGGAGCCGGCCTCTCATATGTAGTTTTATGTACATAAATGTTATTGCTTTAGTAAGTGTCACAATATTGTCTCTTAAGTTCTTTATTTAATAACGCAACGGCTGAAAACATGACAACATGAGTGAACAATAGGTGGATAGTTCCAGTTC